CACACATGCATTCTTACCACATTTACCCAGTACCCATAGCATCGTGCCCCAAATATCCTCCTTGCCAGGGAGACAAAGATGGGCAGAGGAAAACTAATGTGGCGACATCCAACCACTAACTGAGTCAGCGACTCTTTCATCAGTAGTTATCATTTGCACACTGGTCACCTCTGCACATCCCAGTCTTCCTCTCTGGGTGCCCGACTGCTTGGGTAGTGATAGAGTCTGGTGATAATGTGATGCAAAACTAAATAAAACTGGCCAACATTCCCTACCCAATTTCTTTTAATTGCTTTGGTTATAAAGTACTTGATACTTATGTCTTCACATTCTCTCATCCTAACACACATAAAAAGTACATGGGCCAGTGACATAGTCTCGAGAAGGCTTGAGAGAATTTTTTAAATTTATTTCCCACCCCCTTCTATGGGGTATTTCACTTATGTGTTTACCTGTTTGCTTTTGAGGGAGAGGGGCAAGCCCAAATAGTGACTTCCTTGAACATCTCCTGGGTCCTTGAGATCTCCCCAGTAAATATTAAATAAACTCCCTAGAGCTCTAGTACTGCTGCCCAAGATGGGTAGCAAGCGCCCTGACTTGCATGTGCAGTCTTGTTTGGATATCTGTACATTTTTGCTTTCTATTGGTTCAGAGTCACTTTAGAACTGAGCTGGGTCTCTTAAGTCTGAGACCTTGCTTCTGGTGCTATCCAGAACATAAGGCATTAAGAAGAGACCCAATGTTTGGCTCATCCTAAAGTCATTCACTGACACCTAGCAGCCCTCTTCCAATGTTGAGAATTTTCTTTACAAACCTTCCCAAATCAGTAGACCAAATTTGCAGGGCCTCGTTCTTCCAGGTTAGTAATGTCCTGGCTTTCCCAGGCCCTACTACCTTTTTTCACAGAGGACCTCAAGGTACTACCAAGAGACTGCAGATCACTAAGCAGAGATTGCTACTTATGCCTCATTCTGGGTGTACATATGAAGACTAAGTTTGGATTATATATTTTAAGATAAATGAGAAAGTAGGGAAAAAGTTGGGATATAACTAACAATTTTTTTTATCTGATTTTTGGCAATATCGTTTTAAGTTCCTGGAATTAGAATTCTCACTGTTAGTCTCCACTGCTGAGAGACATGCCATTGGACATGTTCTGAAAAGCTCTAAATGTTGCAGAGGTTTTCATGAACCCTTCAATGGGACAGAAATTGGTGTCTACATTTTCCCTTTGCAGGGGCCATATGATTCTAATTAAGCTTATTTTCCAAACCATCAGTCAGATTTACAGAATGGGAAGTCCTGTACATCAATGCACTCTTTTTACTGTGGACATAACCCATAGGACATGCTAAGAGCACCCTGTGTCCAGCTGGAAATTCTTCCAAAGGCATAGATATTGTTTTTAGTATGTCCCTCTGGTATTTTATGCAGCAAGGCAGTACCCACACATGACCTCAACATATTTCATATTTTTTTTTATTCAAGAGCCCAAATAGTGAAATACACTTCAGGCAAAATCAAAGAGAGCAAGATTTTCTTCTTTTCTTGGTCATAGAATAGGCATTTTCTGCTTAATGGCAGGACAACTTAATAAATTAGAACTTGATATTACCAAAAATCAACAGTAAATTCTATGAACAAGGTGAAGACATAGTACCAGAGATCCAAAACATGAATATAAAACATCATATAAGTTAAATGGCTTCACTTTAGCTATACAAAGAGCAGTTACTAGTCTGCCTCTAAGGAGGTCAGTTACATTTTAATATCTATACCAAACATTTCTACATTATTGTGCAGGCATCTCATTCATGCCCATTCAAGAAAGTCTTTGTTGATTCCACTAATATTTCCTCTAAGCAATAAAGTAAGTTTGAATAGTTCCAAGACATAAGTCTTTCAAACACTAAATGTTTGAGTAAATCCAGATGCTATGATAGTATCTAAAATTGCTTGGAAACTATTTCAATAATAGAGAAGCTAATTCAGTTTAAAAGGCTAAACTGATAGCTCCATGTAAACACAGCCTATGGGGGGCGGGGGGCGGCGGGATTGTTTAGGTACTAAGAAGAATTCCAAGTTTATACATATACATACATATATGTATGTATGTATGCATGTATATGTATAAACTACAATTGTTCAAAGGAACATACTTTATAAAAGATAAGATAGGTAGTATGGGTATTGACAATCTAACAGTTTCTCTGAGCATACCAGCTAAGCAGTGATTCTCCTCTACCTCAAATAATAAGTTCTTGCTATGTCATAAAAGATACATCTTAGGAAATCATAAAAAATCATGTTGAGATAAATAGGAAATAGGTTACATAACTCTGATAAAACCAAGCCATTCTACATACTGTAGGATTCCTGAGCTTTGTCAATTCACTTTCTTCATTGGCCCCTAACTGCCTTTCTTCCAGAAAGTCTTCTATGTTCTTCTATTGAACATATCTTTTTCCCTGATATTCAGCCTATGCCTTTGTATATTGACTTCCACTGCTTCATTTCTCCATTGGAGTATCCTCATGGAGAGGAATTGCACACACACAACCTTCTCTTTCCTTAAAAAATATATCACGACTGGGTGCTTTTTCCATCATCCTTTTACCCAGACAACTAGCACTGCCTTAGCCAAATCTCATCCCCCCACCAGCTTCTCTAACATCCTGTTCCATTATTGTACATGTAGAACAAAGGGGAAGTTTAAGGACAACAGGGTGAGTGTGCTGCAACCAAGTTTTCATTTTACTTTTCCAGGAGACCACATAATCTTAACACCATTTAAAAGATAAAATACAATGGGGCCAATGGATTATTCTTGAGCATAGGGTTTAACAATTGAGATCTGAAATTATCTATTCTCCATGTGATTTTCCAGAAATCTATTAGATGATGCCACATTTTCAAAATTTGCTTTGTTTCTTTGTGGATGTGTTTTATAGGCTTTAAGTCATTGGAAAGCTTAAATGTTGCTATAAAAAACAATAGTCACTTAAAATAGTGCATTAATATCTAAATTATAAACTAGTGATATGACTGATAAATCGCTCCAGCTTTTTTTTTTAAATGTGCTTTTGGTTCTTACACACTCAGTTCCCACCTTTTTCTTATTTCAGGCAACTAGTTCCAGAAGATATTTTCAACTTGAGATTTTTTTTCTATTACTTTTATTTTATGATTCAATTATTAATGGAATGGTCATAAGACCCTTTGATTGTACATATCAATACAACCATATATTGTGATTTGACAGCATCCTCAAATTTACAGTAAAAAATTTATGCTATGAAATTAGTTGGTATATTATTTGGGGGTTATGATATTTAGCTATTACTTATATTACAGGTAAAACTATAGTATCTTTATTTTAAAGATAAATATGGTTTGTGTGTATATATATATACACACATATATGTGTGTGTGAATATATATGTGTGTATATATACATGTATATATCATTATAATAATGTACAGTCAAGGCCTTAGATTACTAGACCTCAGCTAATTGGGGCAAATGAAGACCCCAATCCAAATTCAAATGTAAATGGGAATTACATTTCACCAAATTCCATGCCACTGAGGATTCCCTTATATCAAAGCCTCCAAATTACTAATGAGAATGGCCTCAAACTAACTTTGCTTTCCTCTATTTTGCAACTGAAGAAATCTTGTTTGTTTGCACCTATTATTTATTATAGTTCACTTACTTTGGGAGAACAGTGCCACAGCTGAAGAGCCAGGGCTCCTACCTCCCATAGCAGCTAAAATATACTTTATTTATATATAAATAGAGAGAGCTGAGTCCAGCTCAGCATTAGAGAACACCATTATGGAGACTAAGACCAAGAATGAATGGGGCTACATCATACTTGTATGAATGGAGAGGGACAGACCCAGTACCACTGAACCTATTGGTTTTACATTTAATCAGTATCATGGGGTATAATTAATCAACTGAAAATATACATACCACAAACATGTTTCAAAAAGTAATTATTTCTACCAAAAAAATTCTCATAATTACAAATAACGAAGTGTGGGTTTTTCCCCCTTTCAATCCCCCTTTCTCCCTTAGTCCAGGAGTATATGATAAATACATTGATTTCATATGTATATTCTCAATGCTAATTTTAGTTGAGCTGCTTCTTTTTCTGGCCCATGTATGTTTTATGTTTCTATGTATGTTTTATGTTTCCATGTTTCTATGGCTAACCAATTAGTCCCACTCTCTATAGCTTCAAAGTGAAACTTTGTGAAGCCTCCTCATCTTTCTGCCTCCTTTCCTAGCTTGTCAATTTGATTTTCTTCTTGTGTTTTCCCACCTGTCAAGAAAGTAACCCTCAGATTTAAGATAATCATCCTAACCCTCCAGGGATCATTCCTGATATCTACCAATACACCTTTGAGTTCTGGAATATTTTGACTGGCATAGAGCACCACATGGCTAGAAACTAGAACAGCAGAAAGTATTCAAACATTGTTAAACATGAAAGCCCCAAGCACATTGACTGGGCTCAAGGATATATTATAAGTAAATATTGGGGAATTTTCCAGTTGGGCTCTATCCATGTTGAGTAAAGGCTAGGCAATACCCCTTATACTAACAAGGACAATAGTTCCCTAACATAGTAGTTATTCAGGCAACTGTGTTCTTCAGGTCCCAAAGCTTCCATCAGCTGTATTATTTCCTTCCCAAGGCAGATGAACACATGTTGAAACAGAGTTTCTTCCTCTCCATCTTGGGGTCTTTTTACTCAGAGCTTTACACTACGAAGAGATGTGATGGGGCTACTATTTAGCTAAATGCCATTTGAGTGGTAAAAGAAGTATGGAGATGTTAGAGGCTTATGTTCTTCTGACACATCAATTCCTGTCTTCAGGGAGACAATGAGACTCAGTTGAAATAGTGGATTCAGTTCCTAGTTTCCTTTCCTTTACATGATTAAAAAAAACAAAAACAAAAAGCACAAACCTCTTTTACAATCATACCTTTAACCAGCTAATCTAGATTTCATCTTTTGCTGAAATTCTTCTCCAGCCAACGCCGGACTTCTTGAAGGTTGTAGTAGAAGGGCCCCTTTCCTCCCAGATAAGCAATTTTCTGTCTCTGCACAATACACACACGTTCAAAGGCTACCCCATAAGCTACATTGGCATTATTGTCCATGCGATCAGCCACAACACGGCACTGGGGCGGCAAGGAGAAATGCTCCAGAAGCTGGTGGGCTGCTGCACATCGGTCTTCTTGGTTCCGGTGCTTCTTCACTTCAAAAGACAAAGAAGAATCACCAGGCACTGCCCAACCATCTGAAGGATGAGCCTCATCAATGTAGACCAACAGGAAGTCAGCCACTGATGAGAACTCTTCCACCAGTTTGCTGAAGGCTGGCAGCTGGCTAGTAAAAGGAGGTCAAGTGGCTGAGCCGAAATTGACCACTAGTGGGCGCTCAGGGCTGGCAAAGTCAAGAAGGTGGCACTCGGCTCCATCCACTATCTTCACCTGGGCACCATTTCTACTATTGTCTCCTCCTTCAGAATTAGAGACATGCACCACACTGGAATTGGGGGCATCTTCACCCAATTTTACCTGGTGGTGAAAAAAAGAAAAAGGGAAGGAATACCATATGAAATGCATTGTCACTCCAATTCACTCCATACAAAAACAGGTGGCTCTAATGCAACGTGGTATTTCCTTCATAGGATATGATAAACATATATTGATCTGAGTAAAGAGGCATCATGGCTGGTAATGTAAAGAAAGGCCCTAAAGAGTAAAAGTCTTTTTCATTCTGTATAGTCACTGAAGGTAATTACTTTCATCATTGAAGGCACCAGTTAACTCTCTTCATAATTACATTGAGGCTGGTATTCTTTACGCGCTTACTTTGCTGTCAATGCTTAGCACACATTATACAACAAATGATTAATTGACTTCATTTTAAAAGTTAAAAGTGAATGGTCTACTTTAAGTGAAATTGTCAGAGCAATGGGGGTTAGATACCTCTTTTTTGTATTCCCACTTCTGAATTCCAGAATACTCAGGAAAGACCTTTATATTCTTGCATGTTAATTTACTTTATCTCCACCAATGGACAATTATACCAATGGGCTCAATTCTTGGCCAGAGCTAGAAAACCTGAGGTCCGCCATTCACTAGACGGGCTACTCCCACTTCACCTCTTCAGTGCTCTAGTTTTCCCATCTGTAAAATGCTGATGATAATAATGCCTGTGTTCCTCAGACAGTTATAAGGTCTGCACTATAAGGAAAGGAGCCTTGTACACTATAAGTCATTGTGTGGGCATAGGTTCCATTATTCAATGCCACCCAGACATGTGAAACAGCATATCATCTTTCTGAAAAATTCTGTGTTAAAATAAAAGAGATTATCCTTAGAAGTAATTTGAGATCTTCTTAGGACAATGTCCTTCCTAGAGATATCTCAAGCTGCTGCTTACTTTTGAGTTCCCATAACCCAAAAGTAATGGAAACAGGTTCATTTCCATTAAACAAATGAAATGACAAAAACATACAATTATTCCAGAATTCTTTTCTCATTTTTCATGTGTTTTTGTTTTGTTTTCCTGTTTTTATCTAGGAAATCCCAAACCGTTTACTTTTCTATCATACCTTCTATTAACAAGCTTCTCTGACTTATACAACACTCAGGCAGGTATGGAAGAAGGTATAGAAGAAAAATGTCCCACGTGCCCCTTTGCAAGTGGTTTAAATAGCTGAACACAGAATGAAGGAAAGTTTGCTGGCCTTTGGATCTATAATTGATAATAAAAAGCTGGCAACATAAAAGAACCAATTACTTCAGTTTGAATTAACAAAATCGGATCTTCCCCTAGAATGGTTTAATCAAAACCAATAACATTAGGGACAACTTACGACAGCCCAATTGATTTTTATAGGCTATACTTAATATTACAAAACACTTCCAACTGGATCGACTTATTTCCCTCATATAAATACAGCCACATATAACACTGCTAGTAATTGAAGTCACTTAGAAGTAAATTGTTAAAGACTCAACAATCCAAACTGATGTAAAATACTCAAGGGCTTTTATTCAGAAGCTTCTATCTAATGTGAATGCATAACTTATTTTAACTGTAGAAAAGAAGTAAAGAAGTTCTTTCTCTCCCTTCTGAAAAACACTAGCAATGCAGATTTGAAACAATACTATTAGTTTTCTAAAAAATCTTAAAATAACAATCTTCTTTCTTAGAAAAGGAAGCTGTTGGTATGATTTAAATAAGTACATTTGTCTTTAGTTACTATCAGGGAGAAAGTTACTTTGTTTATATTGATTTTCTTGGTTAATTTACAAGTTACCCTAGATAGAGAAATCTTATAAACCACCTTCAGCTGGGTTATTTTATATGAGGTAAAATAACACCTCACTCTTCTCTGAGGTATGAAAATATACTTAAAATTTAAAGATATACAGTTTATAGGTATTATGTACCTTTTAATCTATGGGTTCTTATTCTACTTCTTTGTAGATCTGGGGAATAGATAGCATTACCACTACCATCTCGTAAGATTTTTCCCACTTAAATTATCAGTAACAGCTCTAGAAGCGTTGTTTTCAATGATATTGTGTTGTGTTCCTCAATATACTGTGATATAAAAGATCTGAATGCATTCACTTAAATCCATTAAATGTTGTAGGGACTTCCTGTGAAGTGAACAACCCATTCACGGAAGAAAAGTCATCTCTGGACTACAGACTTGTAGGTTCTTGGTAGGTGGAAACAACCATCTGCATTTTGGAGTCATGTTAAAGACCTCTGATGCCTCTGACTCTTACCCAAACAGAAGAGCTGATTTTGCATTATTCCTGATCATTCAACTGAATAATCTCATCTGATGCTTCAGTCACAGGTGGCTCTCATATTACCTGTAGTTAATTTTCTAAGAAGACGAAAGCACCTTCTCCTTCCTTTTAGTGACAATGTCTATAGTTCAGCCATGTAATTCTTTTCAAAATACAGACCAGTCTACCTTAGGAAATTTCAAGCAAGTATTATACTGTCACTCTAAAATTAAAAATTAGAAAAGTTACCAAATACATAATTCCTGTGTTTGTGTGTGTGTGTAGTGCCAAGGGCAGCACTGGCATTTTATTAAGCAGGAATTTTGTTGAATGACTTACTGAATGAATGATAGCTATTATAATCCTAGAGGTAGGGGTCAGTAAAGAGTATTGCACTTAATAACAACCTAGACCTGCAATGAAAATAATTATGTTTGGGTGATGGATATGCTCACTGAGTCTGATAATTCAGAAATGTGAATCCTGGGACCCTATTGTAGAGTTCTGCCATAATCAACACCAAACACTGTTGATACGTTCTTGATTATCTTGGCTGGCCAATGTATGAAATGAAAGTAGCCAATTCTTTTTATTTTGCTCTGCAGCCATGGGGCCCTACTGTAGACTGGAATGTCATAAACAGATATCCTGTTCATGAGGGTGAGTAGGTTAGAGAAAATTCATAGGTAAGACCAATGATATTAATAAAACTATGAGGGGAAAAAACACAACCATTATTTGTGAGCCCCAGTGTGAGTAGACCAGTAGTCTACTTTTATAAACATCATATACTAATCATAAAACTTGTTCGTCTTTGCTAAAACCTGCTGATGACACTTTAGCAACAATAAAGAAAAGAAAGTTACAAATTTTAAAAAATGAAAGTTCACTTTAAACAAAAAAAATAAAATTTTAAAAGGATGTTATTGTCCTTTCTCAATTGCCATTTGAGACCAATCTCATTTCTCATCTTCCCATTTGATCTCCGTGAAAATTAAATTCCTATTATGACCAGAGTTTCAAATGGAGAATGTCTTGGTGTGCTCAGTTATATGCCCTGCTGAGATGGAATGGGAGAATCACCATTGTCTTCAATGATGGAAGATTCTTTGCTTTCCCCAGGAGCAAAGCATTCCTTGACAAAGAGCCAAAATGATGAAGAAAATAAAGTTGGTCCCATAATAACATTTAGGCTGCAGGAAAGAAGCTCAACAAAAACAAGTTATCCCCTGGTACTCCCAAACTTTGTTTTAATTTCCCACAGTGGCACAGAAAGTCTCCTGGCCACAAGTTACCTATCATCTTAATTTCTCCTTCTTAGAGGGTTTGTGTTTGGTTTTTGTCCTTAATGAGACATATTTGCCAAAGAGGCATTCAAAAGGCATTTTTTACTCTTGCGGAAGAGTAATTAGGTCGGTACCTCTTTCCCTGCCAGCATTAGCTGCTCTAAAGAGAACCCTGCCCAGTATTTAATGCCCAAACACAAGAAGCATCATTTCCACTAATTGGTCTTGAAGTTCCGATGTTCCCAAAGGGTCCCTTTATTTTGCAAGGATCAGAAAGGACATACGTAAAATGAAATATCGTCATCACTGACTTTATCTCTCTCATCTGCGCTATTACAGTTGTTCTTTCCTATGTTTGTGTAATCAACATCATCACAACACCAACAAGGAAGTAAATAAAAGGCTGCATTTTTAACACATGACCTCTCTAGGCAGAATGCAAATGTTGTGATAGCCATATTTATAAATATGAACAAGAGTGTAAATATATGGCATATAAATTTGATTCCTTTGATGACAGGATTCCTTTTACTGACAGTGTTCAGTGCATGGGGGAAAGGATAATACTGCTTTAGCAGGTAGACTGTGAAATGCAGGGCAAGAGAAAAAAAGAAACTTTCATCAAGCAGAAGCTAGAAATAGAGCATATACTACTAACCTTGTTTTTTTTGGAGGGGGGTTGTTTCTTTGTTTTTGTTTTTTTCCTTTCTCTTTTCCACAGCCTGAGGAAGGCTTCTGGACAAAACATTACCTCATCTCATGATAGGAAGTAAGGCAAATGATAAAAATGGGGGCTGGGTGTGTGAGAGAACAATATTCACACATCCTTCTTGCTACCCAAAGCCCTAGAATGGCTTTATTAACCATCAAGAAATTTCAAATTCTTTGCCATAATGGCCTGGCTACATCAGTGTCCTTATAAACATGGGCAGACAATGATTAAATAGTGATTTACCCAGGTACATTCCAACTGGCCAAATAAACCAGAGCTGAAGAATGAACTACCAACTCTTTCCTCCAAGTTCTTCTCTTTTCAATTCATGCCCTGAAAACATAGCTCTAAGCTTTATCATTTCCTAGTGTTTTATCCAAGTGATGGACAAGCCTCCCTTGTGTTCTTTTGGGAAGGTTTCTCTCTTAAAAGGGCTATTTTCCATTGTAGAAACTAGTGTCAAAAGACTTGAGGTGAATGAAGAGGAGGAGGAGGATGTTAGAGACCTTTTCAAAACCAAAATTACATGTTCAAATGAATATGTTTTCTGTGCTACTGCGATATTAACTGCATAGAAACTAAACTGCTTGTCAGCATCTATACTGTGTGTTTACTTTTACACTTCATTTAGGTAGGAGCCTGGCTCCCAGTCAGCAGAGTTTGCTTATTGGTTGGGTTTTCAAGTCTTGGAGCATGAGTACAAGGATGCAGTGTTAGATGCAATGACACAGATTAGGAAAACCTAAATAACAAACATCTGTTATTCACTTCTGTCTGTCACAAGTTTCTTCAGACTTTTTTTCCACCAAAACCCATGCATGGAAGTCCCTATAACCACGTGCAAATTATCTTTAAAGCTTTCCCTCTGGAATTAATTTTAAATCCCATTCAACATTTTAATGAAGAAGGGTTGTTTTATTTTGTTCTATTTTAATTTCTTTGTCACCTCCTAAAGGAGACAAACACAGGGATAACACTTTTACTGCCCTTGCTCTATCTCCCCAAATACCTGACCTTCAATGAGGAGAATTAGAAATTGTGTGCCTTGTGTATGGCAGGTGTGCAAACCCTTCATTCTGGAAATCTCTGCTTCTGAGGGTGGAGGCCTTGAGGTAATGTAAGTCAGCATTGTGAAACACCATGGTGCCATCTCACACAGAACTTCCTCCAGTGTGGTTCTGGAAATGGCCGCACCCAAAACAGTGTCACAGATGAAAACAGCAGTCAGGGAAGTCATTCAACCTGTTTTAGAGATTCTGAGTGACCTTCAAATGCCATCACAGCCACCACCACCCTTGTCATATTTGAGAGACAGAAGGGGACCTAAATTCAGTGCAAGCTGTGTTCGCAATGTTTCTATTCATTGAATACCCAGTCTAGTCTTTTCTAGTCTTTTCATTGAATTACCCAGTCTAGATATATAGGTTCCTGGTTTGCCTCTTCTCATGGTATCTATTACATAACTCATAAAAAGCAAACATAATAATGTCAGCTATGAACTTGGTCACTAATCAAATCGATAGAAAAAATATAGGAGAAGAATACATAAACCATATGCAAAAAAAGGGGGGGGGGAAAAGAAAAATCACTTGTCCTTGCCAATTTCTTGGACTACAAGTAACAAAATATTGCTGCAGAATGGAACCCTATACATAAGTGGAAAAAATAAATAATAAATTGTATTGAAGAGGCATTTGCTTGTTTTTCCCTTTTTATTTCAATAAGCTGCTTGATAGGAAAAACAATCTCACTCAATATTTGTGGGTAACAGCACAGCCCCCACATTTTATGTGAGATATCTGTGTAAGCATGTATGCATGTAAGTAAAATTCTCCTAAGCAGTGACTTTTCTTTTATAGGCAAATGTCAATTCTCTTTCAAAAAATTAAGAGTTGCGTATGCTGAGTTCAAGCCATTGGCATCGCCATGTTGTCTTCCTAACACCTACAAAATACAGATGTAGTTGAGGGAACTTCCAATTCATGATGTGCCTGATGTACTGGTGCATTCTCCACCTTCTTTCAAACTCTTTACTCCCATATCAAAACATGAAAATTTCACATGCAGTAATACATTTGTGGGAATGAAATGGTCATCTGAGTATCTCTCTCCATCATCCCCCCTTTGCCCAACATAGATAATATAATGGAGATTATATGGTTAGAACTTTAAGCATTGTTTCATATTATCATAAAGGGATTTTCACTTACTAACAAGAGCTCTTACTATTCTCTGGCCTTTAGGACTCATGCAAGTTACTTTTGATAACAGAGACATGTGTTATAGCAAACCTTCCTGAATTCACAATGAATATTTCCTTCTTGAATACTTGTTTAATTTCCAGTGGAACAAACCTACTCCGGATTCTTTGTGACTAGAAGCTACTCCTTTTCCTTTCCTGGTACATAGATTTATTTTTCTAGGGTTTATTTATGGGGGACTCATTCCTTTCTTCCTCTTTGATTCTGAGTTTTCCTCCTGTTTCTGTGTGCTGTTTGTCTACAGTGTACCACTTCATTGGCTTCCATATGCCTCTCACACCCCCTTCCCTACCATCTTGAACAAGGTCCCCCAGTACAGCTGGGGAAAACCAAGACTGTCTACTTTGACAGCAACTACTGCCAAGTGAGTCCATTCTTCTCAAGCCCAGAGATCTTTAGGAGTCACGTGGGCAGAGGTGGTGGGGCCAACTGACAAAGGACCATGCCGAAATGCTCCTCTTTGGCCCTTGGGATTGGAGTTGAGGATGTCCTACCAACATCTCCAAGCAGCCAAAAGTCTGGAATGTCAGCAAGTCTCAGAAACAAAGATCAGATCACCAGCTCCGGTTTTGCGGAGCAGCCCTGGGACATGCGTTCTGCAGCTAAGTGAGGCCACTGCTCCAGTGCTCAAGACGTGTTATCACGCTTTTGAGACTGTAATGAACCATAGACTTATCTGTTCTTTCTAGGACAACTTACTTTACTTTTGAGAAAGCAAATGTGGTTTCCCTTACAGAGTCTGGATTTCTGACAGCTAGTTCACAGCTCTTTCTTTTGCAAATTGGTATCTGGTGGCCCAGGACTCAGTGCCTGATAACTACTCCAAAAGGGTTCAAATCAAGTAAGTCATGGGGATGAAAAGTATAGCACAGGGAATACATTCAATAAGTTTGTAATAACCTTGTATGGTGACAGAAGGTGACCGTATTTATCATGGTGAACATTTCTTAATGTACATAATTGTCGAGTCACCATGCTGTACACCTGTACATCGTTTGTCAACTAACCTTTAAGTAAAACAATATCCACGTAGAGGATGACACGGCACCCAGGGCTGCTTTCATTAACTCTTACCTCTACCAGAAACAAGGGGGCTTTTATGCCAAATCTCACTAGCTGTGATCATTTTGTTAAGTCTTGCTGACTCTGGGGGTTCTGAGGAGCATTTCCTTTTTTCCCTTGCCCTTCAGTGCCCAGCACTGAACTGTCTTTCCTAGTGCACCTCAGCGTCTCATCAAGCAAAACATCAGAATCAACTCTGAGACAAGAGCAGGTTAAATACAGCAGTCTCCTCCCCTCCCCCAACATTTTCTGACTTTTCCCAAAGTTACTCTACTGGCACAAATACCTTCTCTTCCAAAACTGCAGCAAGACATTAATGGCTCTTATTAGAAAGCCTCCTTACTAGGTCACACACAGAGTCATTACAGCTTAACACCTGTCACCCCCAAATCTAGCCTGCGTGACAGGTGTGGAAGGTGCAAGTAGGAGCTCCCTTGAGCGGAACCACCAGGAGCCCAAGTAGCGCTCCACAATCCCAGCCCGAAGCTCCCCAGGGCCTGCGGTCCCTCGCTCACCAGCCCCTGCCCCTACTGCCCAAGGGAGAAGCCCCTGTCGGGGCAGCTCACCTGCTTGTAGGCATCGAGGAGGAAGCTCTTCCAGATGCAGCGCATTCCCTCTGAGGTCAGCATGCGCCTCCACTCCCCGCGAGTGGACTTGGAGCGGCTCAGCAGCAGCACCACGTGCTTGAGGAGAATGACCGAGTCATAGAGTGCCAGGAAGAGGCAGTTGGAGAAAAAAACTGGCAGAATTTGCAGTGTGATCAGCAAGTCTACGCTGAGGATGCCCATCTTCTCTGCCTCCCAGTCAGTTCCCTTGTGCGCTCTGGTTCCCCTTCACCCTCTTATTTAAAAGGGGGGTGGTGATAGAGGGGGTGGGGGAGATAAAGGGGAAGGCCGGGTCGGGGGAGAAGGAGAAAAACTAAATTAAAAGGAAGCCCAAGTTGTCTCCTCTTTCAAAGAAGCAGAAATGGCAAGACCAAGTCCAGTCTCTCCCAGCCCAGCAGTTGGAGTGTGCCCATCAATTCATTCAATTCGGAGCTGCTGCCTTTTTTTTTTTTTTTTTTTAGGATTTAAGATGTTAAAAAAAAAAAACCCACACACACAAACTGGCGTCCCCGTCCCTAATCCAGTCACCCCTCTCAGAGTCGGTGAAAGACAGGCAGCTCTACTTTCATTTCGAAGCACCTATGAGACTGTGGCAGAGATTGCAAAATTTCCTTTAGCTTTTCATTGTCTCTAATGTTCAGAAACGTAGCCCGTTTCTTTCTTGAATTGCCAGAGTTTTAAAAATGTGCTTGAAGGGTAGTTTTTCCTCTTTTTTACTCCGTTTTACACACACTTTCTGTTCTCCTTCTCCCAGCCTGTCTCTCTCTCCCTTCCCCAGGAGCGACTGACTCCTCTTTTCCTCACTCGCTCTGGCTTTTCCTTCGTGCTATCTGTCTGTGGTGCAAAGTGCCTCTCTCTCTCTCTCTCTCTCTCTCTCTCTCTCTCTCTCTCTGCAGCCCAGTGAGTCTCCCTGAAGCCTTTTATACATTCCCTGGCTAATTGCTGCAATAGAGAAATGAAAGCCTAATCTTGGTAAAGATCTTGACGTCATTGAGAAAGAGGGCTTTACTTTGGCCAGAACTGCAGTGAATAGAAAAGCAAAACTCGACAACTTTTTTTTTAGAAGGGGGGGAGAGGGACAGTGGAATTTTGCTTTGTGATTTAAAGAGAGGGAGAGAGAGAGAAAAAATTATTACCTTTGCCAGTTTTCAGGAAATACTTCCAGACTTTGGGAAAAGTAATTTAATGTAATGTGCAGATTGATAGGGAAATACTCTCTCCTCTGATTATTATTATCGTTCATTTATGAGGGATTTTGGAAAGAAAGGATTCTGGAAGGCAGGTAGAAAAAGAGGAAGAGTACTCATGAAAGGTCTCTGCTCTACTTGGAAGATGTAGATGCTCACATTTGGTCTTTATACCTTTCTGCTGTAACAGTCTCTCGTCAGACTTGTAACCTAAGTTTTTAAAATATTTTTGAGTCATGATCTTATTTAAGAAAATTCAAAGTGAGTTCTGAGGTGGAAAGTTTTAAACTCTTTGAGTACCATCACAGCATTTCTCTAAAGCTTCTCACAGAAAATCAATACAAGTTTTCAGTTTTACTGAAATTTCCAATGCGAAGAAGAAGAAGAAGAAGAAGAAGAAGAAGAAGAAGAAGAAAGAAAGAAAGAAAGAAAGAAAGAAAGAAAGAAAGAAAGAAAGAAAGAAAGAAAGAAAAAAATCTTTCACACAGACATAAAAGTAGCTAGGTGATCAGAACTTTATTTGTTCCATTTTTCCTATATGCAGATTAAATTAAAACTTTCCATCAAATGGCATTAAGATTCCATAAGACTAAAAAATAAATTCTTTCTGAGAGTTCTTTAAATTCTGCACTTTCCTGTTTCTGTTAACATAACCCCTAAGAGACCTGAAGCTTTAGGGACTCCTTTTTTCCTCACAAAACAAAACAAAACAAAAAACAACAACAAAAAAAAACTAATTAAGTTTGCAGGTGGTTAGGAGAAGACTTTGAATTGGTTCAAGAGCCACAGTGAACATTGCTCACCTCTGCCATTAGTCTCCAAGAGCGATGGGTTTTTAGGCAGACAGTGATTTGGCAGAATGCCATGACCCCTGCCTCATTCTAGTTTTCCTTCCTCACTTACCTATCAGATCACCTTAGGAATTATGTTATCATAGAAGAAGTAGTAAGTAGAGACACTGGGATTGAGAAATCAAATTGAAATTGAAAACTAATTAGCTGACTTTTCTAAATACATACTGCTCTCATTAAGCATGAGCTAAGCAGAAGATGCAAACCTATGGGTCAGTTACATTTCTGTGTTTTGTCTCTGTGGCAAAAACCTGCAAGATCACAGAAATAATTTAAAAGCCTAGAGCAGGGGTCATGAATCGGTAGGCCAATGGGCCAAATTCTGTGCATATATGCATTTTATATGGTTGGCCTAGTGGTTTTTGCCTTAAAAAAATAATACAGTGAGAATGCTTTTAATTTTCATGAGGCCAGGGATTCCTGTCTGCCTTCTCTACTGCTGTCTTCCACCAGTTAGAACCATTCCTGGCACACAGTGAATTCAAGGTAGATGAACTAAATGGACCAATGGGCAGGGTATGCATTACTCCACACTAGGGGGCACCATTCACATACAATATGATTTGACTGTGGTGCCCCAGAATTGTACACCCGGCTGGCCTTGGGGGTGGCCCTCCCCATGGACACAACCCTGGCCATTCCCTATCATCTTAAAAACCTGATTCCTTCATCTTTCTCATCAGTTTAGCCCATTATGAAGCTTGGATTTACATTCCATGGACTAAATTTTGAGGGAAGACTTCAGAGCTTAGAGGAATGAATATAAATCACATAGAAAAACACTTTTCCCATGACTAGTGTACATCGTTAGCAAAAGAATATTATTCATATACATGATATACATTTACTCCATTCATTCTCTCAATCTCCTCAATATCCTTATTGAAGGAGGAAAAAGACAGAGGGAGATGACAACATGGTATTTTAACTAGTGTAGATGGGAAAGCTAAAGTGCCAGATGAAGCCCCGCTCCACAATGACAAAAATGTGGAGTCAGGAAATGACACTTCCACTCACTGCTCAAGCCTTAAAATCTCACCCCTTCTCAGACATTCATTTTGACCCGTTTGAATAAAAGTCGTGCCCACTTAAGGCAGAGACTTTAGCAGCCATAAACCAAATTTTCCTCACTTGTCATTTGCTTTCAAGGAGAAAATTATGATTAGAAATGGCAAGTTAAGGAGGGGGATTGGTAAAAAATCAGAAAAATGCTATCTTTTTAAATGCAAAGTTCAAGCTACATCCAAACTACAAATGATTATAAACCAGAATGACTTCTTTTTTCTTTTTCACTTTCCTTTCTCTGTCTTTCTCTCTTCCTTCCATCCAAAGACAGATGTGTTTGAGGATTGTTTGTTTGTTTTTCTACAGAAGAACAAATAGACTCATAGCCAACCTGATTGTATCATTTCTTAGATTTCTTCCACCATTTTAAAAAATGAATGAATAAATGAAGCACAAAACCAAGAGCCATTCTTTTACCTATTAGACAATCTGTCCATTCCAGAAATTACATTTCTCCAAAGCTATGTTTTTACACATGGTTTGCTTGTTCTAATTATTAAGTTATTCATCACTTTAATTTTTCAAGTCATTTTATACCCTTGAAGTAACAAAAATAATGCATATAATGACAGACTATGATTTGTCCCGTGATATAGATGAGAGAAAGTGGATCATAAAGACCATAATCAAAGCTGATGTTAGGATATTTTCCCCAACACTGAACTTCACTTTTTTCTTACATAACGGTTTTGTGGGTCCTGGTCATACTCTGAAAATTGAAACCCTTGCCAAAAGTGGTTGTGCTAAATAATTTTGCCTTCTAAATTGCAAAGGATATCTGGGATTTCACATCTGTTTTTTTTTTTCATTGTTTTATTTATTTCTGAGAGAGAGAGAGAGAGAGAGAGAGAGCGAGCCAGCGTGAGCAGGGGAGGGTCAGAGAGAGAGGGAGATACAGAATCTGAAACAGAGTCCAGGCTCTGAGCTGGCTGTCAGCACAGAGCCCGATGCGGAACTCGAACCCACGAACCATGAAATCATGACCTGAGTCGAAGTCAGATGCTTAACCGACAGAGACACCCAGGCGCCTCTTCACATGTGTTTAATATTTCCCCAACTCAAGCTCCAGATTTGGATTTCCTATGGTCATTTCAAAGGTTTGGATATCTTCTTGGCCATGTAAGCTTTCTTAGCAATCAACATTGTAATGAGCTAATTGCAAACCAATGTGTGACATGTTGGTTGAATTTCTCCATACAATGGTGTGTACAGGTTTTAAATTCTAAACAGAGGCAGCCTGGAGCAAAAGGCTTTGGGTTTTTTAATAAGTGTAGAATCACTATAAAATTGCTTAATTTTTTCTCTTTCCAGAGTAAGAGAGCATCATGTCTACCATTGCTTCCTTCTGGTTGGAAAAAACAAGAATATGAGTGGTAAATGTTCCTTTGGTCCACTTTTTGACTCAAATTGAGACTGAGAGCATGAAGTTGGATAACTTGAGAGCAGACTTGGAAATTTCAGGGATAGAAGCTATCACTGCTATCACATTATTTTTCAATGCATCTGAAGAATTCTGTCAAGTAAATAATTGATGCTGTGGATTTTTAAGAAGGCTTATTTCATAGAATTTTATTTCTTCTAATTCAAACAATTTGTTAAATATAGTTTAAAATCTAGTTTAACTACTCCTTTAATTATTCCTTTAGAATAGAATTTTGTTTCTTTTAATTCAAGCAATTTGTTAAATATAGTTTAAAATGGAGTTTAATTATTCCTTTATTAAAAACTTGTCAAATAAATATATTATAAATAAAAAAATGTCTACTCAGGACAGGTATGTTGATTTGAGGTTTGGGAATATGCTTGCCATACACACCACCTCCTCCTTATCAGAGAAGGGAATCAAAAACTGTGCAACCTTCTGTCTCTAGTAACTCCTGGTTGTGCCCAAGAGGGACTTATAATGAAAGGTTTATATCACAACTACTGAATCATTCAAAATTCCCTGTGGGCCCATCCATTCTACAAACAGAACCGTGTTCCCTGCCTTGTGATGAAAGCACCTCAGTGGATAAAACAGACAACCCCAGAGTCAACTCTGACACACCTTGAGCAAAGCAACTTAGGGCTGGGGCAGAGAAGGCAGACACTGTGGGAGGTAGGAGCATTCTACCCAACAGCTCCCCTTAGGTCCCTTAGCAAGCCCTGGCAGAAAACACAGGCTGAGGTGTTAATGCATTCTTCCCTCAGGAAGGGCTGATACTCTTTTGCTTCCAGGCCACCTACTGGTTGGACAGAGAAGGAAAAGAAAAGGGAAAAGACAGGAAGAAGAGGAAAGAAGAAATGAAGAGAAGGAAGATGAGAAGGGTGAAGAGGAGAAA